CATGTAGTACCCACCTGTACCACCCATGTAGTACCCACCTGTACCACCTATGTAGTACTCACCTGTACCACCTGTACCACCTGTGTAGTACACACCTGTACCACCTGTGTAGTACCCACCTGTACCACCTGTGCAGTACTCACCTGCGTGATTGTGTGTGTGATGAGCGAGTGCGCGTGTTACAGCTGCAGACAGAGCGCGACGAACTCTACAAGAAGTTCGTCGCCGCCATCAACGAGGTGCAGCAGAAGAGTAGCTTCAAGAACCTGCTGCTGGAGAGGAAGCTGTCGGCGCTCGCAGACTCGCTCGAGAAGAAGGAAGCTCAGCTCAACGAGGTGCTGTCGGCGTCCAACCTCGACCCGCAAGCACTGAGCATCGTCACGAGGAAGCTGGAGGTATGCGGCTGACGTAGGCGGCGGCGCTGGCTTCTTACTTCGTCGTCATCTCAAGAGGCTGAGTTTTAACAATTTCAGGGGCGAGGCAGTGTTGTTGAGTTTGAAAAGAAGTTTTTTTGTGTGCCATGCCATTATGAGCGTATAAAGGAAAACATTTCCTTTAATATAATGGCACCAGGGCAAACATTTCCTTTAAAGGAGAGGCAAAAAGCAGCTTACTTTTTTATGAACACTTAATGTGGGACATGAAAGAGATACAAACACAACGTGAAATTTATTTGAAAGGCAGGTAGGTGAACCAGGTAAGACAGCCACGGCGGTTTATTGCTGTGGTCATTATTCAATGCTCGAGACACCATGGCAACTGAGGAGGGAAACCACGGCCCTAGCTGTCAATGCCGAATTGATGTTCGAGTCCTGTAGTTTCGTATGCATGTACTCGTACTTCGTACTCACGTGTCCTCAGCATGATCAGTTGCTATGTCTTGACATATTTTGCTCTTCGTGCATACAGGATGTATTGGATTCGAAAAATTCGGCGATCAAAGATTTGCAGTATGAACTAGCGAGAGTTTGCAAGGTAAGTTGTTTTGCTGACGGGTGCAACCTTCTGGTAATAACAATTCTGAATGCACACATTGCTGAAAGTTGTTCTGTAAGGACATCTACTAGTTTCTCAGTGTTGTTAATGAGCTTTTTCGAGTAAGGGCAATTCATTCTATTCGTACCGCGATCGTTCCTCATCCCTGTCACCGTACCGTTTTATCTGCCTCTCTGCCATAGTGTTGCTTACCTGTGCTTCTTTCAATCACGCTGTTTTCGCCCCCCCCCCCCTCTCCATCGTGCTCACCACCATGCTTAACTGCTGCTGCAGGCTCACAACGACATGTTGAACACGTATGAAGCGAAATTGAGGAGCTACGGTGTGCCCCCGGAGGAGCTCGGATTTAAGCCACTGCAGATGTCGTTCGGGGGCCAGCGGCTTGGGCAGGGCCCCGCAGGACTTGTGGCCGCCCCAACATAAGGGCAGTAGTCGCTGCTGGGCGGGGTACGTCGCCCCCCAACCCCCACACACAGGACATTTGTGGCCAGCCGGCTCTTGGACAAAGGGGTTGCAGGCATTGTTTGACTCCAGTTTCGAAATTTTCACACGAGGAAGGTTTGGAGAAACTTATTGTCGGGGAAGATTTCAAGCAGTAGATAGTTTGTTGTTACTACTTCGAATGAAAAGTATGTTGCTTACCAAATAACAAAAAAGGAAAATGTGACAAAGATAGTGAAAATGTGAAATATAGAGAAGCCGCACATATATTTATATCACTCGATTTTTGATTAGGTGGATCACGTGTGAAAAAGTAATTTTATTATCTTCACTATGGTTCGAGCAATTCAATCCACAGTATGTTCTGCACACTCAGTATGTGTAGCCTAGTTGTGCATGTCTGTGTATACATGCCTGCGTACTACTGTTTATCACACGTGTGAGTGTTATTATTTACATTTTATACGCAACATTAAAGTTTTCACCAGTAATGGCGGTTTTATATCATTTATGAGCCTTCATTGTTTCATGAAAAGCTATATATATCAATATATAAACATACTTGTAAATACTAAACCGAGGTCAATGAACTTTTTTAGTTCCACATACGTTTATTTGCAACCCTCGTAAACCACGTCACGTGCGGTTGCGTGACAGGAAAGCCCAGTGCAAACATTACATGTAGAAGATTCTAGAAGTATTTATCTATGTATCTATCTATCAATATCATCTAGTGAAAGACCGGAAAGCAGATAACACAAAATCTGGTGTTAGTATTGCCACTCGTATTCTCGCTGCATTCTACACACGACATACATTTATGGGAAAACTGTCCGTGCTGGATTGGCCGGTCCATAACGTGTGAAGTCTCAATGGTCGTCGGACGAGATTTTAGGTGATTATATTTTTTAATGAACTTCTGACTTTTACAGGTAATTGGTAAGTTGTAACCGAAATTAAATTGTATATTGATTATCTGTCATTGTTGTTATGATGACTTCACCGCTGGCAGGCTTGGGCTAACGCTCCATTAGGAGTGTTCGCAAACTTTGATATCATTAATGATTAATGATTGATAATCCTAACCCTAACCTAAACCACAAACTAATATATATATATATATATATATATATATATATATATATATATATATATATGTTATTATGACCATTAATGACATTAAAGTTGGGAACACTCCTAATGGAGTATCACCCCAGGCTTGGTATAAAACCATTTCATTCATAAGGACTAGGAATTTAATAATTTATTTACTTGCCACTATCAGTAGAAAACCACGAGCAATTTTTTTACCAACTAAAACATTGCTTTTACGTTGCTTTTACTATGGTTTTTACGTGACAACCTCAACAATTGCCTGGTATGCTTGCTGTAAGCTGTATAATTATGAGGTTGCCGTGTACGTGTCCTTCCTCAGTCGCCGTCTCGAACTGTCCCCATTAAATTCCCCGCGCATGCAGTATCAAACGATAGCTCCTCGCAGCTGTAGGCTATCAAGTCTTCTTTTACAACCGAGCAACCGTTGCCAAGTTCGCCGGCCGTATTTAGCATACACTGTGGTGGTATACACGAACCCCTTTAGACTGGTGAGGCAGACACCCCCAGTCTATATATAGAACGATTTCTAATGAACTAATATCAAGATTCCATTACCCGAAGCTCTGACGCAGCGGGACTTGTGAATGTCTACAACTGCATACGGTTTGTCCAGGGTTTAATGGGTTCACGATACTGTCACGAGTTTGACATCTACGAGTCCATGCAAATCTATGAAACTAGCGTTTGGTCAGATCGGCAAATTTTCTGTGTATACAGAGCCGTAATGCGTGACATGAAACGCGAAACAACGCTCAATAGTCGTCGTAAATTTTCAAACAAATTGCTATATTTATTAGTAACGATTCTATATTAAACACTGCGAATTATGTCAATATAGATGCAGGGTGATTTTTCAATGTGCAAGTAGGGAACTTGCGAGGCACGTTTTGATGACCAGCATACAAGTGGTAGTATAATAAGGCATTCTCAAGCAGTACAACCATACCCCGAACACACCCTGGCATGGGGGCGTGCAATAACGAGACTCGATGAAACGGTGCAAGACAGGCAGCTAGTGACATCACATTAATGCACCCAATGTCACTGGCATAACCTGCTAAGCCTCATCTAAGCAATAAATGCATCTGTTGAGTCAACCAACGTCACGTGGATCCCTCCGTGTCACACAATACAGGTGACAGTAGGTATGACCAATATTCTTGGTTTGACATTACACAAAACCTATGCAGTACCTAGTATATAGTTGATATGCACACCATACCGATCACACACAGCGATGGAACCACAATCTATTCTTGCTACACTATCTATCATACGTGCACTCTACACACTATCAACAGGAATATAATTCAAAATCTATGTGAGGAGTAATTCCTAATATAAACATCCTTGAATGCATCTCATGCAGTGATATAGGCTCATTTTTCGATATGCTAGGATTCACTCAGAGGAATATACATTGCACATCGAGAAAGATAATGATATATAGTGCATTCACTCCAACACGTGCAGTATTGCAATTAACATCAAAACATACACACCCTGCTCCACAGCACAACAAGTTCATTAACAATTTACTGTAGGCAGTGCTTTATAGATGGAACTATTGTTGTCAGTTGGTTACACGTTTAGAATTTAATATAACATGTGCTTATTGTCATTATATTTGTCATTATTAACCCCCGATAAATTGCTTTAATTTTTACACGTAGTATACGACAGCCCGTTGGGGGCACGCTGGAACATTTACTTAGCTTTAGGTCCAGCATCTATTTCGCATAAGTAATCTCAGATGAGCACAGCTCAACGTTTTATAATATAAATAGCAAGTAACATAACAGACGAACCGACGGGAAACAGCGTTTGAGAAATGGGTGAGATCACCCAGGACTGTCAGCCTGGCTAGACAAATGCCTGCACACGCACACAAATGCTGGTGCACACGCACACGCACACCCATGGACGCGCGCGCACACACACGCACGCACGCACGCACGCACGCACACACGCACGCACACACACACACACACACACACACACACACAATTCTAGACAAGGTATTGCGACCCTGTGAAGAGTCTGCAGCCTGACAGTCTAACCTGTCTCTGCAAGGTCACGTCATCGTATCTGATAAAAAGCACGCTCGCCATGAGATCTCTGCACTCCTGGACTCCTGGACCAGCACTCCACCACCCCCTCCCCCTGATGGACTGTGCGGCGAGTCTACGTTTCCACCCCACACCACCCCACCCCACCCACTCGCTCGCCCACATGCACGCACGCACGCTCAACGTTCACGTTCTTTATAAGTGTTGCTCCACAACTGATTTGGCGTGTCACTCACCACCTCCCACCTGTGTCACTGCCAGCCCCGGGAGGTGTGGGGGCAGCGCATGTGCACAGCATTCCACCGATCTTGTCCTTTGAAAACTATACACACACACACACATACATATATATATATATATACAATCGTAAAATCTTAAAATTTACAAATCTAAGACTGCAGTCAGTAAAATAAATATGCTCGGTGAGCAGAGGGATATTATCAGATATTATGAGAATCGTGGCCTATGCTACGTGCTTAAAATAGAAATCAACATAAACATAAGCTAAGCACAGCACAGCACCACGTATGATTACCTATACTACACTAAACGATGCTATAAAACTATGTAGTATGGTCTCGCGAGACCGCTTTGACCTTCAACGTTAAAACCGGCGCACGCGCGAGCGGGTGTCGAAAAGCAGTGACGTATAACCGCCAACAACAAACCGAGATAACAAAAACCTTGTTAAAATCATGCTAGCAACTACGTACCATTCAAACTGACTTACAAACTGTCTCTCAACGTTTGCATCTTGTCAGAAAAGGATTCACACACGCGCTCGCACACACGCAATCTACTACACAATTCAGTAGGCAATCACTTATTGCGCTGTGCAACCAACACGAAATACGCATGTACAGATGCAATGAGACCGAGGAAACCTCGTAACTGGACAATATGCATGTAGTTCCTGCTATTGTTCTACACGTACAGACTGTAAATGTGTTTACACACGAAGGTACGTGGGGAAACGCAATCAGCGCAGCAGTTGCCGCGACTTCGTATAGATATTAACAGCAGGACTAGGTAGTTTAAATAAAAACAATATTACATATAATACCCACTGCTTCTATACTTATACCACACCACCACACTGATACCCAAATAAAAATATTTTTGGTTTTTCCACAAGTTTTGAATTATTTAGTCCTATTTCAATATTAATATTGATTACAAAGACTTCCCACATGTACACATGCGTGCACGCACGCACGCAAGCCCTAACACGCATGCACACACAATGGTCTAAAGTGTTAAAATGGTAATTATCAAGAGCTAATAATAACTAGAGCCCCATTACAGGGGCTCATTTCCCATACCAGGAAAACAGCGCTCTTTTACTGCAAAATTACTCTATTTTTAATGTCTAAATTAATTCATAGCATTACATTTAGCAGCATTACTTACTCTTGTAAATGTTCTACATTAAGCACACCACCTAATTGGACACAGGGACACACTGAACACACGACGAGATACTTCCTTGCACAAAACAAACAATGCTCGATGGCGATATTAAAGATACGCGCACCAAAGTTGACAAGAATTCACCTAGACGGCGGCGCCGCCATTATTAAGCTACGCGTGGAGTCGACCTCAGCAGCGGAAGCTCTGCCGATTGTTGCTGCGGCCGCTGGGATTGCTCGCGTAGTGCTTCCTGCGGTGACGCTTGCCGCGCGCGTGCACCTCTCGCGCCTTGTTGCTGCGCTCGAGCTGCGACCTCCGGCACTGCAGGTAGCGATCCCGCGTCTCCAGCTTTTGCATAGATAGCAGAGCCTGCTTCTCCTGAATGGTGTTGAGGGCGGCGCCGTGCACGACGCCCGGACGACGCGGGTGATGTATCCACCCGCGCTGTGCAGCACCTGCGAATCGATCGTGCAGACGATGCAAAGGTAAGAGTATGACACGGTTGCCGCGCCAACCACCACCCAAACTGAACGCGTACGGCTCTCAACTACAGCGATTAATAAATTATGATCGGCGATCGTGTCACGTTTTCTGTCCTTTACTGGTCTATTGACGCCAACAACACATACACGCACCTGTGTGCATGCATGCAGCTGCGCACACACGACTAGTTCGACATACAGAGCCTGGGATATCGCTTCCCTTTTATTGCTTACGAGAACAAATTTCGTTGCGACGCCACGCACATGCGAGGTCACGCGCTCCCCTTACCACGCGCCCGTGCATAAACGAAGTCGCTACCTACCACACTGCGGGGGCGAGTTCTCCTCTGCTTCCTCCGTCTCCTCCTCCTCGTCCCCCTCCTCCTCCTCCTCCTCCTCCTCCTCCTCCTCTGCGTCCCGGGCGGCGCGGCATTGCTGGGAGCGCAGGCTGTGCATCGAGCCGTAGACGGACATGCTCGGGTGCTCGATGAGCATGTTCTCGAGCGTCGTCGTCTCGAGCTCGACGGGTCCCGCGCGGCTGCCCGTGAAGCACGGCGGTGGCGTCACGTACCAGCCCTCCTCGACGTGTCCCGGGAAGCTCGACGAACCAGAGTCGGACGACGGCGTCGACGACGACTGCTCGCGGTCGGGCTGTGCCGAGCCGCCCCCACCGCCGCCCCCCCCGCCGATGCGCTCCTCCGCGCCATCCTTTGCTGAAAAACGAGGCGGCGTGAATTTGATGCGATTGCCGGCTGTCGCGCGGCATCAGAAACGATAACTCACGATCGAACTGCGCTGACCGTCAGAAGTGGGAACTTGCGATCGAACTACGCCAACAATCAGAAATGGGAACTCGCGATGGAACTACACTGACCGTCAGAAGTGGAAACTCGCGATCAAACTACACTGACCGTCAGAAGTGGAATCTCGCGATCAAACTACACTGACCGTCAGAAGTGGAATCTCGCGATCGAACTACGCTGACCGTCAGAAGTGGAATCTCGCGATCGAACTACACTAACCGTCAGAAGTGGAATCTCGCGATCAAACTACACTGACCGTCAGAAGTGGAAATTCGCAATCGAACTACACTGACCGTCAGAAGTGGAAACTCGCGATCGAACTACACTGACCGTCAGAAGTGGAAACTCGAGACCGAACTACACTGACCGTCAGAACGAACTACGCTGACCGTCAGAACGAACTACGCTGACCGTCAGAACGAACTACGCTGACCGTCAGATGTCAAAACTCGCGATCGAACAATGCCGACCGTACCGCTTGCTTATTTCTAACCGTCGGCTTTGTGCCGAAACTCGGAAATGAAAAGCGTGCAAAATGTGTATGAGAAATAAATGCAGTATGACACAATGAGAGTACATAGCGTTTCTCCTATTGCTAATGTAATCCCTCAACTATTGTGTCGGTTAGGTTTCTTGAAAATGTTGCAATTAGAGAAATCATGGTTGGTGAATACAATGTATAATGGGAAATATGAGGTTTTATTAATACATGTTGAAGTCTTTTGAAAATACAGATATATAGCACAACAGGGGTAGAAATTAACTTTTGAACACGGGAGTCCAACGGACTCCCTACCCTCAAAAAGAGGGAGTCCGCAGCCAAATGAGGGAGTCCTCAGTCTGAAGTTCAAAATTAAGGATATTAACAATAATGCATGTGCTCATTTTTAAGATTCATGCAGTTGCACGTCTGCAAAATTTTCTTTAGACTTTTACTGAAAAAATACGGTAATTTCGCGAGGCCGTGCTCTGGAACGAACTAGTTAGAATGGCAGAATTTTCAGAGAGTCACACAGACTCCTGCATATATATGTCAAATCAGGGAGTATTTGACTCCCGTTAATTTCGCACCCTGACACAAGTTTCACATTATATATTATCAAGGATAGCGCCAGACGGGAAGTAGGAGCAGAGTGACAACAGCTGCCCCATCATGGCAAAAATAAGTATATATAGATGATATATTATAATATAACAACAGTTATAAACATAGCAATTATTTCCTCTTAATTTAAACCTTGATCTTCAAAAAACAATTTGCACAGGGTTAAACATTAACTTTTTATTTCACTAGACCATCGGGCTAGTAACTGAGGAAAACCACTAGCCCTGACCTAACTTTCACTAGCCTAGACCCAGACCATTGTTATAGAAAACTTTATTTAGATAAGAGTGTGTCATCGTATGAATTCATAGATGCTGTTTCCCGCGCTTTAAATCGCGCGTGGGCTGAGTTCACGTGCAGCATTCGTATTCTACCACGGGCATACACGAGCGCACGGTTTATCGATCGTCTACTGCGGCTGGCAGCAAGCCACGTTATTGTTTTTGCCGAAGGGTAAACTGGTATCCGGCCTCACGCTCTGCTAGACAATGTACATGCTCTGCGACAAACAGTGCGGCCGCGAGCCAGAGGTGAACTTTCAGTGCAATATATATATGACCAATTCTAACACGACCAGTTGGGCTACTAGCACTCTGGTTGTATGCGACCGGACCAAGCATTTACCCGACTAGGTCGGTCGGTCGTGGGTTAGTGTCGAACCCTGAATTTGCATCCCCTAGTTTTTGGCCCCTACTCGCAAAGTAGTTATAGGTTGCTGTTCCTGCCTGGGGACCTTATTCCTTCCTCATTGAGTATCTTAAACCCACTCCCCACTTCGTCGGGGACCTAGCCTCCAAGTCGGGTGCCTGATCTAGTGCCTCCCCTGCAGTGTACATGCACACATAAACTATCAATTTAGCATTTGCTAGTGCTCCACTAGCAACAGTAGCTTGTATAGCAGAATCACTTTAAATCTGATTTGGAAGATTCAATTATATATATATCCCTACTAGCCTTATTATTTACACAGAGCTATTAGTAATCACCATTTGCCAATCAGTGTTTTCTTAAATCCAAAGACATCAAACCTCTTGCCGTTAATTTATTACGTTTATTAGTGATCACTGCTGATCAGTTGTCACTTTAGTATATTACAACAGTACCACGTGTACACAAGCCTGCCAAAGCATGCCAGCAAGTGTGCGCCCAGAGTTTCCCAGCATGGAATGTACATGTGGCCATGATATGACCACATGTACTATCTACATGACGTACTATCAATAACAACACAAGATATTAGAACTGTAAGCCTACCATTTGGCTGATTTGCATCCACAAGCACCCAACCCTCGGCTTCCTGAGTTGTGATGTGGCAATCGCTGGCATGGTTTGCCTCTGCTGCACTAGTACCAAAGATAATATTGGCAATGTTTCCCAACATCTTCAAACGTTGTGTGTGCTGCAGCTTCTAGACGACTGTTAATCTTGACAAAGAAAAAAAAAACGTTGTTAAATCTCAGAACAATGAGATAGTACGACAGTTAAGATGCATTGAATGAGTCTTCTATGATGATGCAGATGAAGAGAAAGGGAGTTTAGACTGGAATAGAATTCGCTATGGCACAGATTAACAGGTTTAATTTAGAATTGAGAGAACAATTTGTATGCCGGGCATGCATACTAGCATGAAATAAAGTTCACACAGAGTAGACTTGAAAGAATGATGATTAGATATCAAGTATACGAATACATGAAAATAAACAATTTGCGTACAAAAGTAAGAGAAGGCAAGAAGGCTAACTAGGATGCTGACGCCTACCTGTGACACGTGATGACACTCACCTTGATAGACAAATGCCTTCTTGTTACACAAACTCAGCACATGAACAGCACTGAACAGAGTGCAATAACAGTCGCCAGTAAAGGGAAGGCAATGTTCTACCAACCAAATGTTCCTGTCTATAGCAAATGACACTCAGTGTGCCCAATGTGTCCATATATGTATAGTATTGTAGACAACAATTGAGCTCGCCAAATTGACAAGTGACATTAATTCAGCTTGTCTAATGAGTGCGACTGCTCCAAAACAACTGAACTACATCTTGTCACAAGTAACGCAGTCAGTGTTGAACAAGGAGAGAGAGACAACGACATTGATGGGTTAGCTATAGCCTTTGTCTCTTTTTTTTTACAGCTGTCAGTCTTCCAGCCGAAATGCTGTACATGAATCGAATTTCCAGCACCAGCAGGATCTAGTAATATCAGCTTGCACGTGACGTAATACATCTAAATCATCTCCACGTCTACTCCGTACATTTACACCACCTAAGCTAATCTCTAAATAATCACGTTACATATCGCGTTGGACAAGATGTTACAGCAATGCGCTCGTGCCTCCTCGGCTTAACAAAATGCCAACAGTGTTTGTGCATATTCCGTAGGTAATGTAGTAACATTTTATGCTATAAAACGCTGGTACACCAGCTCTTTCATGCTCCAAATTTAAATATTAGAAGTGAATAAGGTATAAAGTTGTGGACCAGAAATGATCCTTCGTGCATGGCTTGCTCATGTAAGGACAGAGCTACCCCAATAAATCACATTATATGCCATCTAAAAACTGCAGGGAAGCTATATCATCAGAATTACCTATGCATTCATGTGTATGTCGAAGTAAATTTTGAAGTCTACATTTTGAAAGCTGTCACTCATTTATGCAGCAATGCTTACTTATACAGGTACTTACAATATTGTGATCGACAATTCTGTTAATTGCTACAGTATGCAACCCACCTGCAAGTATGTTGATGCTTTTCACGTTCACGCGCACACTCTACTGCATTTATTCCGAGTTGCAATTACCTTGAATTATAAATTCAAAACTTTTATTACCTTGGATTATAATAAGTTGCAGAAGGACATTCAATCATGTGTGATAGTAAGTAATGGAAGTTAATTTTAGACGATATTTCTTGCAATGAATACTTGATTTCATGTCCACATGTTAGTACTAAGCCAACCAAGCAGGCCAGCAGCTACATGAAAGCAGCAAGACAGAATATCGATGGAACCAGAATCCCACAGTAACAGTCTCTTGTTATATACTTTGTACGCACCTAATCTGCCATACACCTACATGTATTATTATGTAATAATTATAAATATAACACTGCAGCTCTAGCTCCCATCCTGAATTCCTGCCTTACACATTTCATCCTCTCTTCGCCTGTTTACCTACTTGTTCTGGTGCATTTTCTCTTTTACTGCCAACAATAATGAAAAAGTTTAAGTTGATGTAGTTCTCACAGTGCTTCTGTCAGGTTACCAGGCATCTACTAGTACTATATTGTTATTATTAATATTATTACGTAGGAGCACTGCCTATCCCAGAAATGCTATGTACTGTTTGAAAAATGTAGGAGGGGGAACTGCAATAAGCTGCTATACCGATTGTTTGACACGTCTGCTTGTTGGCTAATAAACTATCTCAGCCGTGACAACCGCCACTGTGCATCGAACACCCCTCACAATCAAGGACATTAGCATGTTGGGCAGCAATCGCCTCGGTGAAAATCAATAATGGCTCATCGTGAACTCTGACACGCTCCCCCACCCAAATAATGGGGCAAATATCGGCCACCATCTCTCACTTTCATTACAGAAACGGGCAGAAATGCATATATTTTTATCCCTTCACGCGCACAAAGGAAAACGTGAAGGACGTCCAGCACGACATTGTGCGAAAACCAGTCAAAAGCGGGTCATAACACAACCAGAATCGCGATCAGCTGATGTGACTAACTGTACCTAGATGTACACAAAATCCGACTACGCCCTAAAACGTAATCATCTATCTAACATTAAATGCTTATTAAACGTCAACAACTTACCGTTCTGATATGGTATGATGTCTTTACTATGACGTGTAACACGAATAAAATGATAACTCTCTTTGCAACGAATAGAAATAAATTGAAACCACAAAGCAAAACAACCAAACCAAAGCAGCTGACGTAAAAGATGCAAAACAGATGTCAATAACATACGTCACGACGGTTCCCCTGATTTTCATAGGCTGGAGTGTACCATTATTGGAAAGTGGGCGGAGCTAGGGGGTAGCGGACGTTTGCGTTGCTACGTGACGCTACGTCATCTGTACCCACAGGCGGCTGGCCACTCAGGCCTGACGACACGTCGACACCAGCAAAAAGACCAGGAACAAATAATACAGGCTGATAACGTTATATTTTAGCTCCTGATTTTAGCAAACAAGTTTTAGGGCAACAGCCATTACGTGTAGAGATAATTTTATTTATGAAAGTTCTCAGACATCACGAACTAGAATGTCTGACAAATGCTTGAACTGTACACTATATATATCAGGAGCTAATAATGACAAATAATTTTTATCATTATTACTATATTAGCTCCTGTATTATGTATAGTGTATAACAGTATATATATACAAAACAATATTTTTTGTGAATTGCAAAATTGCAAATTTTCCACTGCGATCCGCAGTGTTGATCTATTGCCATTTTATCCACTTCTCTCTCCATCTTCGTTCCCCTAGGACTTTTGAAGACTAACATTTATGAGATTATGAGGTTATATACAAGTTTAGGACTTGTATAAATAACTGTTGTACATAAAAAATTGGAATTCTCCACCTTCGTCTTTGGCTAATTGCAAATTTGAAGCTTTCTTCTACTGCGATCTGTATTGTTAATCTGTAAGACTGTATATTTGATCAA